TACCAATAAAGAAAAACAAACAAACTTGGTGTCTTTGGGAGCTGTTTAGAATTAGACACGGATATAAAGATGTGGCATTGTGATTGAATACTTCTTACTTGATTAAAAGAAGAACAGAGAGCAGAATACATAAGCATTCATGTATGCTCTTTTGCCATGTGATGTACCTCTTGAGACTGCCAGCAAGAAGTCCACCATCAGATGAAGCTCCTCAAGTCTGTACCCAGACCATAAGCCATAACAAACCACTTTTCTTTTTAAACTCTCTTAGTATTTTATTATACCAGCACAAAATAGACTAATACAAATATTTTAATCACATTATTTACTATGTAACTGGACTTAAAAATAACAAAACTATTATTATTTCATGAGAATTTACTTCAAGATGTCAATCATAGCTTACATTCTTTCCTATTTACCAGTAACCTTTGGAAGATATATTTTTTTACATGATTGTTTAACTCAAGAAAGAGCAGCCTAGAAAACCCCAAATGTATTTCTCTTTCCTGTTGTACCACAGGACTTTGTCCTTAACAGGTGGTAACTACACGTTTCTTGAATAAACATGTCTTAACATTCTGCATCTAAAGTCTATGAGTTCCTCTGGTGATCTTAGAGTTCATATCAGGCACTTTTCTTAAGACCCTGGCTGCACTGTTTGATTTCATTGACTTTAAAGGGCATCATTTTTGGTCTACGTCTACTTCATGCATCTAAAAGAGAAACTGCTATAACATAAACATCTTAACTTTCAAATTTTCCTAAATACACTTGATCTTAGCCCATAGGATGAAGAGTGTTAAGTGTTAAATCACAAGGTCTAATTAGATGAGCAAGAAGTCCAGGCCTGGACACCTCCCCTGTCCTGATGGTATTTGATATTCCCTTAGAGCATTTCTGTTCTACTTTTGTTTAAATATTCAATATACCCACTTTCCTGCTATAAAAACTGCTGATATTCTGCTGGCTCCTCTAGCTGGCCCTTCTGCATGCAATTTCTCAAGTGGTAAAGGAGCTGAAATTTTGTCAGTCAGTCAGACTCTCATTTTTATGATTACATCTTCAAAGTCACATCCCCAAAATGGATGCTGTGGCTGTGTTACTTCATTCCGACGGTAGGGCCTAGTTCCCAGTGTTTGAATTTGTATCCTCTCTAAGCACATTATCTATCTTCTTTAAAAACCTGAGCTTCATTTTACAGCAAATTTTCTTTTTGTGTAAATTAAGTAGTTTTTTTTCTATTTTCTTGTAAACAAGCAAACAAACAAACAATCCTAACTGCTACAGAGCAATAAGTATGCCAATTTAATTATGACCTTCACAGGCCTTGGGCTTAAGGGACATTGTATAAATGTTTATTTGATGAGTGAATGAATAAAAGTTATTTTAGTATAAGGAGAAAAATGAGACAACATAAATGAACATCCACACTGAGCTGAAAATGGAGCCTGCTTTGTCCTTATTCTCTGTGAAAAGACTTTCTTGTCTGTCATTTCTCCTGCCCTGGTTTCTGGTTTTCAGTTGTAATTTGCTTTAAAGATAATACTGTCATGTTTCTTTGAACTGAAACTATCCAGCAATTTATAGCCAAATTTAAGTTTGGCATAACAGGCTTAATGTTCAGCCTTCCATCTGGATTCTACGCTTGGCAAAAACCCAAGGAAACTTGGGATTTTATGCTCCTGAATTTTATAAACCAGTAAACACAAAGGTATTGGAATTGTATATCTTAGCATGAAACATTTTATCTTGTGAATAAGAAATATCAAATTGGACTGTGGTATAGGGAGCTAAGGGATTTGTGCTCTTTCCTCCCTTTAGAAATGTTCTTATTTAAGAACCAATGTCTGTGGAAAGTGATGATAAAACAAAAACAAGTTACTTTTGTCACTGTTCCCAGCTTGTCGAGCTATTTTCATATGGATTGTAGCATGTTATCTTTCCAGTAGCCCCAAAGTTACAGAGATTTGTGACATTATCCTGTCTTCTAGAGAGGTCAACAGCACCCCCAAAGAACTGAATAATTCTAAAGGTCATGGCTAGTTAATGTATTACCAGAATTTATGCTTCATTCAGTCTAGTGTGAGGTTAATGCATTACTCATCCATACGCTCTAACCAAGAGAATTTTATTTTGTTGTGTACTTTGTGACCTATCATGTACCATACGTGTCATGTGTTTTCATGAAGGCACTGGAAACAAATATTTGAGTTCCTATTTTGAGCTTTCATGTGGAAGCACATGGGCATGGCAGTGAGTTGTTTGTAACACCTAAGATCTTTGTTCAGTCTTTTGGAAATTTCAACCAGGTCTATCCTGTATATAGATAACACTTATTTTAATGGTAATGCTGATGCTGACCATGATAATAAAGAGCCTTTTTATGCACCTTGTTTTGTACACTTATTTATTGATCATTAAACATCTTTATACTTTGAAAGAGTGCTTTGCAGCCTCCATGCTTCTAAAAACATGTTGGCTCTGTAAGGCCTAGTTTGAGCAACATGGTCAACAATATCATTGTTTTTTATTGCCACTTGTGAAGTTCTAGTTCATAGCAGGGGATAACATCCTTCTAAGGTCTGGGAGTCAGCTTCACCCTTGCTTAACCTCTGAGGCTCAATTATAACAGAACCCGATGTGGGGTTAAGAGGCAACCACAAGTGGAGCAATATTGAATCGGTAGCAAGATGTAATAAATATGCAAATCTCTGTTTCCGTAAACCCTATTCCAGGCCATCTAATAATATCTCTGTATTTCTTTATGTTATTACTCTCTCTGCTGCAGGGGAGGAGGCTGCTTCTGCAGCATTTCTGTTCTGCCTTCCCACCTGTTTACATTTACCATACGGCTGCCTAGGGAACCTTACAGCAAATAATGCTTGTGTGAGCCATTTAGTTGACTACATGTCAAAAAGTAATTTGAATCAAAGAGTCACTAACTTAATTGATGGTGATGGCTCCATCCAAAAACAACCAAAGAAATTGATGTTGTGCAAATTGCACATATATTGCTCTTGAATTTGTGAGCATATTCTTGTTTGCCTTGACAGGATTCAAATTATCTTTCGGACAGCTCGACACATTACTTAAGATGTGGCTGTATGTGAATTTTAGCTGCTAAAGGGGGCAATAACAACTTTCCTGTGAAATTAATTCCCATGACTTCAACTTCATCTTGCCATTTTTTTTTTTACTCATTCCTTGCACACACACCTTCTATTCCTTTACAATTTGTGTTTTAACCTCTAAGTCATTTTAGTCACCACGGAATGCAGACATTGTCCCAGCAAATCCTGTGGAGACCTAAGTTCTTAAAAAGTAAAGGATGGCACATTATAGTCAATGCAAAAATATAAAATGCTTTGGCATCATATCCTTCAATGCCATTAAGTCTTAGCTTTTCTCCCCCATTGTTTATTGGTACATTTAAAGCAAACAATACAGTTACATTAATCATTGGGATCTTGTAGCTTTACATGATATGTCTCGGTTCTTATTTAAGTCTTAGTTTTGAACTGTCCTCAAAGCTGGTTTCAGGTGCGAAGATGCTGAGCAGTACAGAATACATCAATTTCAGAATTAGCATACATCACTCAGAGAACCAGGATTTAGATCCTGAGCTAAGGAGGTTAGGCCAGTAGCCATCCCGCAAGAGTAGTGGTAGTAAGAGCCTGGAAACTGTCAGAATAAAGAAGGCATTGGGATTGTAACAATTAGAATACTTGGGATTGTGGACATGATGTCCTGGACAGGAGGGTAACACTCATCTGTGGCACTGAGACTATAGTAGAGTGACCAGAGCTCTGGATGGAGAGGCAAGAAACACAACATCCAGGTACACTCTGAGGCTGAAGAAGTTCCACATAAGCCCATGGACTCTTTCTCTTCCAACAAGAGGGCATTTAGAAAGTAGCATTTTTTTTTTTAATATTACGAGGTGGAATTACTAAAAGGTCATGAAGAACACAAAACATCCCACCCACTCAGTCTTTTCTCCTGCCTGTCATCTCAGAACTGCACAAACCCGTGTAGCATAGGCTGAAAATCAAACAACTACATGATATTAAAATTTATTTCCCCAGAGCACATTGGTGACAGGTTTTATATTTATAGTGATAAAAATGACTGATATAAAGATTAAGACCTGCTTGTTTCTCTACAATTGAAATTAACTTTGCTCTTGAGCCCCATCCATGCAAAAGTTAGAAATTTTCATTTGCCAGCTCAAGCTAACTTTACCTACTACCAAATTTCTTCTCTTCCAGGAGATAATAAAATTTGTGAGTATATTGATGAGTTGTTTCAGAGGAGGGAAACCTCTAGCAATCATTGCTGTACTGGTTGACACTGCTACTGAATTCACCATGCATGTATATTGGCCTGTTAACATGAATAGTATTTGGTATTGCTCAAAGGTAAAGCTTAGAGAAGCTGACTTAACCAGATAGTCCCTCTATCATTGTTCTTTGGAGATCTGCTTCCTCCTTTAATCCCTTCTAAAAATCTGCTTCACCACACAATACAGCAGAAATTTATTTCTCTGCATGCTTTAGCTTTTATGATAGGTGAATAGAGACTTCTCAGATATTACCCATGTCCTCAGTGTCAAAAAGATCTCAGATTTAAAAATCAGACCTTTTATTTCTACATTTCTCTCTCTTCCCCCACATCTCACCACTTGACTTTCTAGTCTGCCTCAAACATCTCATTACCTCTTTTTTGTTTGTTTGTTTAAGCAACGGAAATTTATTTCCCATAGCTCCAAATTCAAGAGCAAAGTGTCAGTAAGGTTGGTTTCTGATGAGAGCTCTCTTCCTGCCTTGCAGGTGACCAGTTTTGTACAACTCTTCACACAGTCATAGAACAAAGAGGTAGCTCTCTGGTGTCTCTTGGTTAAAGTCACAAATCTCATCATGAGCCCCACTCTTATGACCTCACAGTAGCCTCATATTAGCTCTAATAATCTCCAAAAATACCATCTAAAAGTACCATCACATGAGGGATGAAGACTTCCCAGTTAATAAACTGAATATTTGTGCCCTCTCCCAAATTCATATGCTGGTAAGTATCTTGTTTTTAATTCAAAGTGATTCCAAAAGCATTCTCCAGTAGACGTCTCGAAAGAAGGGAAGAGGTAATTTTTGTGAGTGTTAATCCTCTGGTCCTGTAAACTCCCATCTCTCCTCGTTACTCTTGGCCTCACTGATTTCACTTCATCCCCAGAAGTATTTCAAATTCTTCTATACTTTTGTTTCTTACATTCTACTATCATAGGGCTTTTTTCCTAGGTGTGAACCATAAGATCTACCCATATTTTACAGTATAAATATTTAATATAATACATACTGGCTCAAAATTTTATTTTTAGAATAAGCAATTTGGCTTCCCTATAAGTTTGTCTAATATAGACTTTGTAGTATGGACTTTAAATTCTATTTTGACCCTCAAAGCTGGACAATGTAATTTAAATATGGAGAATAGATTTCATATTTGGAAATTAAGCAATGAAAAATGATTTTTCAGCAATTTAGTCACATTCTAGGATAACTTCTTTTCCATTGAAATCTCAACCATATGGATTTCAAACATGTGGAAAGTGAGTTAGGCTGATTTCATCCATCATAGTCTTCACATCAATTCAATAATTCTCCTGCAGTATCATCTCTCCAATAATGCTACAACCGTAGGTCTCTACATTCTAGCCTGTGAGTTGCTTAATATTAACACCTGTCAATGATCTATTTTGGATACCCATAGTTATAATATTATAAACAGATTTCCAGATAATTCCTCTCCAAGCCAGTAAAATCCCAATTCCCAGTGGGGCTTTCTACTGTAAAAAAGGTAGAATTGATTTATGATACATTTTTATTTAAAAAAAGAAAATGCAACTATCATTTAACATTTCTTTGATTCTGTTGATCATTTAAACCAGTGCTTCTCAAGCTTTAGTATATATATGAATCATCAGAGAGCTTATTAAAATGCAAACCCCTACTCGGTAAAATCTAAGGTGGTACCAACAAGCCTTACAAGTGCCTAAATGATATCAATGCTGCGACTGCATTAAATTTTCTTAAAATAATCTGTCGTTTGTTTCCATTTTCCTTGACTGTGTTTCTCTTATTTTTCTCTCTCATTTTATGTGTCTCTCTAATGACCCATATATTATAAATGTAAGGTCATCTAAAGTTAAAGGTAGTTTCCTTTTATATAAAAATTACTTAGGCATCTCTTAGTAATTTAAATAAAACTTTCCTATACAATTTTGCTTATAGAATGATTATAAATAATTGTTCAGTTTTTACATAACATAATAGGCTGCATACAATATATTAAAGAACATATTGTAAAGTATTTTTAAAATAAAACTATTCTTTTATTTACTGAGGAACATTTAACTATATGAAAGTAATCTGATTAAAAGGAATGCCTATATTCTAGAAAATAAAGAGTCACATCTACGTGAGCATTTAAGTGGATTCTGGATTATACACTTGTCCCACATATGGACTGCACTTGTCTGCACCAGCAATTCCAATGCTGCCCATGCCTTGGAATAAACTAGGCAAATTAGAGCTCTCATAGGCCCCATCTCTGTAAGGTTCTGGGATTACTGCTGTTGATTGCTAACCTCTCATGTGTTTGCTCTGACCTCAGTGTATGTTATTTCCTCAACCATTGCTTTAGAACTCATTTCCCTCCTTCTTTCCGCCTCAATCTCTGGAATCTGTGCTCCTTATTTTGTCTCTCTGTCCTCTTTTGTCAACTCCTAGCTCAGCCGTGTGCCTGTTCAAAATGGAAATGGATAATTTAGGATTGGGAAGAGATGACTGAAAGTCAAAGGCACTCAAAGAGGAATGACTAAATATCCAATAAGCACCTAGTCATTTTCTTTACAGGAAGATGTTTCACAGTTATACAAAACAAACTGAAAGTTTTGCCTGTGAAAGCTCCTCTTTTATTCAAAGGAAATTATGATTGAAAAATGAAACCCATTGTGTCTTTTCTCTTCCAAGTGACATCTTCCAAGCATAATTTGCTATTCTGTTGGTTTTGCTGGCAATGAAAAATGCCATGCACAGACTTAGTCTGTGCACTTTTGAGGCACTAGACCTTTTACTGGGCTGGAACAACACCACCACAAAGCAAAACCCATCTTTTTTCTGCTACTGTCAGCAGGCAAGGGCTGAAAAACAGGAAAGGTTTGCAGGAGGAAATGCTCAGATGTTAATCCATTTTATAACTATGCTTGACCCCGAACTCTTTATGAGCTTCTGAAACATTGAAATAACTCTCTGTTGGCTTTTCATTCCTTTACAAATGGAAGCTAATCTGGATGCAGGGAATTAGCTGAAGTCACAATGAAAGTTACCCTCTACTTTTCTCATTGGGCTGCTATCTTCAGGGAAGGAAAATAGTGGTTTAGATGGGAGCAAAGGAGTCTGGAGGCAGGAGATATGACTTCAGTATTTCCTGAGCTTGGGGAAGTCTTTGAGGTCTTGGCTCATTACTTATGAAATTAAGGTGGCATTGAGCTCCTTCCAATGTGTCAAAACTTTCCTTCTAGGCATGAGGCCTGAAAAGTTTTATTTTAGCTGAGAACACAACAATAATAATGCAAAAGTAGTACAATGTAGATATTCTTCAAATCTTCTGTCCAATTCTGATCACATACACACTGAATAGCTGCTCCTCATTACTTATGTAAGAATGAAGGTTGCTTTATGTTTTGGACTCATAAAGGTACTTCTAAACTTCTGTATTGAGGGAAAAGACTAATTCATAACAGATATCTTGAATTATAAACTAATCATACAGTACTGAAGGAATTATAGTTATAAAATTTAAACATTTTTTAAAAAATTATATCAATATAAGAAAATTCTTTGTTTATGAAAATAAGCAAGAAAATAAAATATACTTATTTTTCCATACATTATCTTAGTAGGTAGTTTGCAGTTTATAAGTAGCACTGTTCTTGGCCAAGGCAAACAGGCTATTCAGAAAAGGAGTGGGAATACACCCATGAAAATATAAGGATTTTTGCTATTACAGAATTTTGAAAGAAGATCTTTCAAAATGCATCCCTCTGAAGTCTGATAAACATATCCTCCAATCCAGCCTAATGATACTGAGAATGGAAATTCACATTTCCTAGGAAAATGAATTAAGCATGCATATTTGGTAAAGAATGAAAATTGTAATGAGAAAGCGGAAAAACTCAGTAGATATTTATTTAAAAAGAAGACAATAGGTATATCTGACTTATGTATAAAAGTTTCTAGAAGTCTCAATTAATAGCAAGAACAGGGATTTTTTTTATTTTTCAGATTAAATTTGTGCAGGTTCCATATAACAGGGTTTTGTTTGTTTGTTTGTTTGTACCAGGTATTGAACTCGGGTCCTTGCGTTTGCGAGGCAGGCAACACAACCACTGAGCTAAATCCCTGGTCCAACATGTCTTCTAATATCACAAATTACATGTGGTCATACATGAGGAAGTTGTCAATCCGTGAAATGGATTGCAGTGGAATTTCTTATAATCTATGAAAACGGGAGGACTAGAGAAATTGGGGTATCTGTCCATGGTCCTGAGCCAATAAATAATAGAGTTATGCTTCTATCTCTGGTGACCCAAGTGGTAGCCTGTGCCTTTTTCAACATTACTGAGAACCAGAGAGCTTTTACATTCTGAAAATGAGCAGATGTATGCAAGGCAGATTAAAGTTTTTGTCTGTTTCTTCAAGTAATGTCTTGTACATGGAATAAAATTAAAAGTGGAATAAAACAGAGAAAGTATGAGAAGCAAAAATCAGAAAAAATCAACATCTAAAATCTAAAATAAAGAGTAAGGGTGAGTTGACTAAGTACAGGCTTGCCCAGAAAAATCTCCAGTAGAAAGTCTCAGAAGATCCAGTTGAAACGTGAAAGACATAGTTTTGTGTTAAATCAGGAAAAGATTAATGTTAAAAACCCAGTGAATGCTTATCTTCTACTCTAGGGAAGAGAAGACAAAAAGAAAATAAACTTATACCCTAGAAAGATTTATACAAACTCAGTCATGTTGGCCACCCTCTGAGTTTGTAATAGACGATGTACCTTCGTATGTTCTGCCCCTAATCATTTTAGGTTGATATCTTGGAGAACAAAGTCACAAAAGCTGATTGCATCAACTTATAAACAAGTTCTGGGCAAGATGAAACATGAGAATGGGTCTGGAAGGCTTTGTCTTATATTGTTAAAAGTTCTATCAAAGTTGACAGGTCCCTTTTGTGCTGCTGAAGAAATTCCATAAAGCACGCAAAACAGACTAGCGAGGAAACATGCTTCCCTACTACATACACCCTAGATGGCAGTCCCTAACCATTATCTCTAAAGAAATCTGTTTGCAAATCTACCTCCTCTGTCACTCTGGACCTGAGGTTTTGTACTCCATACTAGGAGTCCTTCTCCAGAAGACAGTGCTTAACAGAGTGTTTATTTGCAGGAGATGAGTCAAAATCACCCACGCAATCTCATAATTCTGGGTCAGAGGAAGACAGGAAGGTCAATGCCGAGTTATTCCTTTTCCTTCGGGTCCAACCATAGCTAACATAATGTCTTCAATTCTTAACACTGCAGTTTTAAATGATAAAATGTTATATTAAAAATTCTTCATTTGCATATTGAGGTTATACTCTTAAGTGAAATACATAAGTCACACGTGTAAATACCAAATAGTTTCTCTGGTGTGAAAAATTATAATTATACATAAGATCCTAATGGTATAATTGACAATGTGAAATAGGAATAAAAGGGCTAAAGGTGTAGGGGAAGTGGGAACTGTAGGGGAAAGGAAATAAGGGAAAAGGAAAATATCTGAGAAAATGAAAAAATGGAAACAAAGTTTTTGTAAATAGGGAAGGGAGGAGGAGGTGAAGCGAGGGTAGGTTTATGGGGAAAAAATGAGAACCAAGACCTGTCATGCAAAGGTGCAAGATCCCAAGAATGAATATAACTGTACTGCATATGTAAAATGTACCAGTAAACTTAATGAGAAAAAAAACTACATATGCTGA